GCAGGACCCACCAGGGATTGTGGTTCAGGCTTTGGGTGGGGCAGGTTCGGAGTTCAGGAAGATAATGCCGGGCAACAGCGAGATCTTTCCCTGGGATAGCATTGGTTATGAAGAAATGAAAGAAATTGGGTTAATTTTAGAAAAAGGAGGGACCCCTTCTTTTCCTATAAAAGGGTTCCCCCCTGGTCTCCCCGATCAGGCGCTTCCCTTGGAGAGCTGGAGGAGGAAACTTTGAGCAATTAAGGACCCTCATTCTTCATGGTAAGGTCTAACATCTGGTTGCTTTCTACAGGATAAGTAGAAATGGACTTGATCTTTCCAGGTCAATTATGGGGGGGTGGAAGAAATGGTGCAAGTGTTGCTTAATACTGGTGATGATGATGAAGGAGATGATGTTGATGTGCTCTCCAATTAGTTCTCTCTTATGGCGTCCCCTTTTCAATAAAGGAGAGAATATTCAGAAGTGGGTCCCCTTTCCCTTCTTCTGGGTGGGTGCAGCTGGGCCCCCAAGGCCACCCAGGCTGTCTCCCCCCCCCCAGGGAGAGGACACAGTGGGAGATTTGAACTCCCAACTCAGAGGCGAAAATCCCTGAACTATCCAGCCAGCAGAACCGGCGAGCCAAGTCAGGGGACGAGATCCCTCAAAAGTGTGTCTTTGGAGCTCGTAAACAGACCTTTAAGCTGCATTTCTATTGAGAGAGAGACAGGAGGGGGTTGCAGGATGTGCATTCATGAAAAGAGCAGGGCTGTCACTAGACATGGGGGCACCGTCCTTCCCTCCCGCATTCTGTCCCTGTAGCCCTGGCCCTGAGCTCCCACCAAGACAGGCCAGATGGGGTCCTCTCTCCAAGGAAGAAAAAGCTCTGGCTGTCAATGCTGGACCTGAAGAAGGGCAGGCAAGGCCGATGATTTCAAATCTAAAATCTGCTACAGTAGTCCTCCTCCTGGTTCGTGCACAGCCAACGGTGGGGATGATGGGACTCAGAGTTCTCCATCTTGGTTCATTTCGGAAGCTAAGAAAAGTTGAAGGGTTAGCTAGAACATCCGGGGAATATCCGGGGGGGGGGGTTCGTGCTGTGTTGCAGCTGCCAGTCAGAGCTGGCCGTATTACTTCATCCCACCCTTTTAGATCAGTTGATGCGGAAAGAGGCAGGCGGGGTGTGTTTTTCACATCAATTTTTTCCCAGATCAAACTGAGAAATTCCCACATCTGGTCCTACAAACAATCCTGTCTTGAGCAGGCTGAGGTCTCTGGCTGCAGAGCAAAAGGTTGAGAGTTCGAATCCGCCCCCCACCTACACTGAGCTGCCTTGATAGGGGCTGGACTGGATTGATCCAGAGGGCCCCTTCCAGCTCTGCCATTCTAAGATTATTATTATGATTAAAGGCACCCCTTTGAGCCCCCATCTCAAAGGAAGAAGAGCAGGTTGGGGGCGGTCAAGGGGGCCCTCAGGGGAGCCTTGGCCCGAGAAGGAAAAGGGGGGGCTGGGTTACTAGAGGAATCGGGTTTCGGTCCGTACCTTGCAGGTGCTTCTCAGGCTGAGGATGTTTATTGACAAAAGAGCATCCAGCATCTTGGACTGAAGTGTCAAGGTTTGGACCAAAACCCAGAACGGAGACATGGCCGCCACCATAACATGTAATGTGCTCTTGACATTCGAGCGGCCGTGCTTTGCACCACGGGCGATGTGGCCATTACCGTGGGATTGTTCTGCACTTCTGCAGGCGAAGATGATGCCCTTCCTGGTGTCTTCTGTGCTGGTGGCCCTCCTGACCGTGTCGGCAGCCCTGGATCCATCCTTGGACACGGCCTGGGAGGACTGGAAGAGCCTCCACGGAAAAGCATACCTGGAGGCGAGCCCCCTCCCGGCCCCACCGTCAGGCCTGGGAAACCACCTGGAGGTCCCGGGGGTCAGCTCTGTTGGGAGCTGTTAACGAAGTGCCCCTGCTCCTTCTGGGTCTCCCCAATCTTTCAGGCTCAGACTACACTGCCCATCATCCCCAGACAAAACAGGAGACCTGCCTTCCCCTTTCCTCCCATATGAAGGAGACCTCCATACTGTGGAGAAACTGTAGAGCAACAGGTACTCTTTAACTACAAAACCCATCGCCCCTGCCTGCAGCAGCATGTCACCTGGGACTGATGGGAACTGGAGTCCAATGCCTTCAGCAGAAGGCCAGAGCTTCCCTGTGCCCTGTTTTATTGGGAAGGAAGTGGATTTATAGGTATATAAGAATGCCTGCCTTAGAATCACAGCAGAGCAGAAAAGGGACCCTCCAGGGCCATCTAGACAGACCCCCCTCACCAATCCTGGGCGTCCACAGCTAAGGCTTTCCTCTCAGCTGGTTTATTGGTGTTCTTATGTGCTGTCAACTCACTTTGGACATAGTTCCACCCCATGAATGAGTAAGCCCTAAAATACCCTGTTCGGAACTGCCCTGCTCAGCTCTTGCAAAGTCAAAAATGATGGTTACTTTAGGGAGGCCGTCCATCTCATATTGGGTCCTCCTCTTTTCCTGCCGCCTTCCGATCGTTCTGATTTTTTCCCAGGGAATCCTGTTTTCTTGTGATGTATGGTACCCAAAGAAGGACAGTTTGGGTTTAGGCCTCTCTCTAAAAAGAAATTTGCTGCTTTAAAACCCATTCTTGTGTTTGGGCTGTTTGTCACTAGCAGGTGGAAGAGGCTTCCCGCAGAGCTGTCTGGGAGGATAACCTGAGGATGATTGAGCAGCATAACTGGGAGGCCTCCCAGGGGAAACATACCTACCGGCTGGGCATGAACCACTTTGGCGACCTGGTGAGCACCCCCGATCTTGCGCAGAGACCCCCTTTTCCTGCTCAGGAAATTATGGTTCACGTCCATGTTGATGCTTCTGACTCCACTCACTTGATGGGCATTCTAGTTAGTTTAGAGCCAAACTATCCATGGCTTTTGTTTTTATCTAAGCCAGAGAGGTGAGACGTCAGGGACCGCTTTGCAGGGGTGTAAGCAGAGTTTGCATGGCTGCTATTTAGTTGACTCCAAAGTATTTTGGCCCAACTTCTTAAGAACCGAAAAGGATGATAGAGGGCTGTACGTAAAATAAATAACACAGAGCAGCCTCTGTCTGCAGCTTGCCGTCTAAAAGGTGACAACTCAGAACCTTCTTCAGGAAAACTTTGGGGTAAAAACATTTTAAACAGAGAAACAAAGCAGTAGGACAACACCCAACTTTTCTCTACTGAGTGAAGCCTTGTCGTAGAGAGGGCCCCTCAAGGTCATTTAGCCCACCCCTTGCGCTGTGTGGAAATCTTGTAATGAGACGGCTTCTGCTTCCATTTTTCCAGCAAAGAAGGATTGAGAGCATTCCCCACCTCCTTGGGTAGACTGCCCTCCCTCTGAGGATGATGGTTTCCATAATGTGGGACCCAAACCCGCCCGTCCCCTCTCTCTCAGGCCCTTTTGGGTTCTCCCCCTGCCCTCTGGAGCCCCCAAAATCCAGGCTGGGCCGTCTCCTCCTCCTCCCAGGTTCACCGGAGGGGCAGAAGCTGGTGCTCGCCAGGGCGAGCAGAAACGGGAGGCCTGGCGACCCAACTCTGCTTCTTTCTATCAGACGGACGAGGAGTTCAACCAGAGGATGAGCTGCCTCCTGCCCAACCAGGTCGGACCAGCTGGAGGGAACATGAGTTGATTCCACGCATCGGCCACCGAGCAGATCCCCAAAAGTGTGGATTGGCGGAAGGAAGGTTACGTCACGCGGGTAAAGGACCAGGTGAGTCCGGGAGATATTTCCCATTAAAGCTAAAGAGATAAACATTGCCAGGTTTTTCATTAGGTGCACTCAAATTTACCGCTTAACGGTGGTGCTGCAATTTAACGACCTTCGAAACATCCTGTCCATAACAACCTGGCTCAGCTCTTGCAAACAGCCTGTGGCTTCCTTTAAGGAGCGAATCCATCGCACCACAAGTTGCAAGATGAAAGGAAACCTAGAAACAGAAAATAATCAATTAAAACAAACATTAATGAGTTCTACATTAATAATTTTAAAAAACAGTAACTCATTATATACTAATAATTTTAATAGCTTTAAAAACTTCAAAACTTAGGAAAACAGAAAAGCAGCAACCGGGGACTCATTTGTAGTTAGTTCCGCTTAAGCCATACACGGTAATAATTAAAACTCCGTGAATTCATTCTAGAATAAGAATTAAAAATCCATTAATGAATTATGCAACAATTATAATCAAAGCCTGTTCATTAATTACATTATACTTATTCACCTAATCATAACTCTCTAAGTAGAATTAAGGACTTTTAAAATCACACTTAGGGGGAAAAAGTAGCATCGATGGACTTCTAAGCAAATCTGCTCCGTGTAATCTTTATTTTGAGCCTGAATAGGGAGCTTTATGGCTAAGCCAGATCTGGACTTTCTGGCCAGAGGTTCCTGGTTTCTAATTTTTCCCCTCCTTTTTATTTCCTGGCACAGGGAGAATGTGGGTCCTGCTGGGCCTTCAGCGCCATGGGGGCTCTCGAAGGCTTGTATTTCAAGAAAACTGGCCAACGGGTCTCCTTCAGCGAGCAGAACGGCTTGTATTTCAAGGAAACTGGCCAATGGGTCTCCTTCAGCGAGCAGAACCTCATGGATTGCTCGTGGGATCAGGGCAACCACGCCTGCCAAGGTGGATTGCCCATATTGGCTTTTGAATAAGTCCAGCAGAACGGGGGGCTCAATTCGGAGAAGGACTACCCTTACAAAGGACAGGTAAAATACACGAGCGGCTTGGCGGGTCTTTACGGCACGGGTGGCCAGCTGTTGGCCGGAT